CTTTGTGGCAAACCTAGTGTGGCGTCATCACACTTGCTATTTACCCCGACTCCTCTCTTTCGATGGGCTTATCCGACTCGGGTAACCAGTCCGGATCCTCTCATTGTCTCATAGATCCGTTCATTATCTTTCTGGTTGACCGATTCCACTCGGTTTCAGTCCCTGTGTGCATTTCACTCCTAGTGATATTTCTTAAGACCATAGAAACACATACACTGCCGCTTAACTGAGCGAAGCGATTAAGCTCTGATTGCCATGCTTGCAGATATGAGGCCTTCCCTTCACGAGTCCTCTCCTTGACTAAACCCGCGTTATCTGATCGTTATCTCTGGTCGTATGCGGCATCTCAAGTGGATTTTAGGGCATTTTGGCCAGCACCCTTAATTTCTATGACAATGTGCTTATACGTCTGCCTAGCCCCCTGACTGTCAGACTCCCAAAATTGTACTGGTTTATTCGAAACGGAGATCACTCACCTACAACACCTCCGTCTTATTTTCCGAAACCACCTCCTTCCTACTTTCGTCATCGCAATCACTTTTCCACCGGTTAGCGACAGATACTTGGTCCAGTCGTCTCCTTTTTGCTGGTCTAGCTATATTCTTGTTTTCCCCGAGTTTGCTTAGGCAGTAGACAAAGTTATCGCTAAGCTAAACTTACTCCAATCTCCTGTTCATTAGATTTGTCTCCCCAAGGATGTCAATGGCCTCCCTAATCTTCCGCTTCCTTGTGTTCTCACCGTATGGAACTTTCCTTTCTGTTGACTTCAAATTGATCTCGTGTCCAGTTTGTGCGATGTGTTGCGCTAGTTCTGATCTTTGACTATCCATTTTCCTGCAGAGCCTCTGATGTTCCTTGATTCATGTGCTAATTTTTTTACCTGTTTCGCCAATATATTTCTTTTCGCATGCGCCGCATGATATACAGTAAACTCCTGAACAGTTTACTTTGTCTACCATTTCATGTTGAGTCGGTCGACTTGTGAAAAGTGTTGATTCCTCTTTCATGGCCACCTGGATATTCCATTTACTCAATATTGGCCGTAGCTCTTGAGTTAGTTCGCAGTAAGGTAGGCGTATCCAATTTTGTGAATCTTTCATCGTCCTTATTGTTTTTTTCATAGTCCCCGTTCTGCCATCGGCTTTTCACGGCCCGTATGTTTCTTTGTATCACTTTAATTGGGTAGCCAAGGAAGATCCTTCTCAATTTGTCCAGCTCCTCGTCCCAGAATTCTCCATCCCTTAGGTGTAGGCTTCTGATGATCATGCTCCTCATTATTCCAATCTTTAACCTCTAATTGCGATGGGAGCCAAAATTGAGTATTATCCCAGCATAGGACTTCTTTCTGAACAATATCTTTTTCAGCGTTCTATTAGAACGAATCACCTCACCGTCCAGTAACGGTAACCGCTCAACTTCCTCTACTTCCATTATGAATTGAATTTTTTTATCAATCTGGTTTACAAGCTCCAGAAACTCTTTCAGCTTTTCACTTCTATATGACCCTAACCACGACGTTTGTGGGGTTCAAAATTGAACCTAGTCAAAGCAAGCAGTACCACAACATTTGTGGGTTGGCACACAAGAGGCTAGAGTATGAGATTAGAAACAGGATAGACGCGGCGGCGATGGGAGCTAGTGGGCTGACAGTAGTTTTTATAAGAGACGTGGCCCATGAAACTTGCTCAGAGGCTTGAGCCTCAAATTAGTCACTCAGACGCAGGGTTGGGCCAATAACTCTTCAAGTTGGTACAGATGGGGTGGCAGGGGTCTAGTGAAATATGTGAACCAGAGAGGGCAGACGGATCTTACGGGACAAGAGAGAAACTGTGGTAAGTCCTACGGAAGTAGGACTACGTAACAATATGGCAGACTCCGATCAACATTCCCAGTACAAGGATGAAGGGGGTTGAGAAGGCTAGCGTGGAGTGCGGAGGGTTCTCATGAAAGCCGCTAAAAAAAGGGCACACCGACCACATTTAATTAATCAAGTAAAATATTGTGACAATGAAGGCGTGATTGGAGGATATAGGAAATGCGAATAGGCCATGTCAGAATGAGAGATACCGTAACTGTTTAGCACACTTGTCTCTTTGACGAGTTGTAATATAGTGATGCCATAGTAAAACTCACTGACGATGCCGACTACGATGCCGGCGAAACATCTGGGAATGTACCACGTCCACGGTCCTACTTTGGAAATAATTATGCATACAATGGACTCAGGACAAGATGCGTTTCTATAAGTCTTCCTACCATTAT